CAATCAGGAAAATGATCAAAATTGGGCAAAATTTACCATCCTGTCAATACCAGGTCAGAGGTCAGAAGCCATAGTTAATTGCAGTACAGTGTTTGACCTAAGTGGCTTGTCCTAAGATTTCATTTTTGAAAACATTTCAAAAGGCAAGTAACGAGATGCGTACCTCCCAATCATCTTCTCCATCCAACCTGATGCGGAGCTCGTAGATCAGAGTGATCCAGCCGGAGCGGGTGTCCGCTTTGTTTGGCGGTTCCCATGACACCCGGAGGAAGGGCCAGCCCTTGTCCTCCATCACAGTCACCACCACCTCCTCTGGAGAATTCGGCTTGACTGAAAAGGGAGAGAGAAAGTTTGAATAAGGACACAGGTGAAAAAACATAGACTGAAATGAAGCCAAAATATCCAGGATTTAATTGCTGCATTGAATGCATGCGCTTGACCAATCACAAGTCAGTCTTAGCTGTCAATCATGACATGTTACCCCATTTTTATAGCAAATTACTATTCAAAACCAAATTTATTGGAAAAATCGACACTTCAAAAAAACATATGTGGGATAAAAACTACTTAAAATGACAGAAACCCTCTTTGAGAAGAATATATTTCATGTGTAATTTGACTTTTTAGTTAGGTCCATGTCCATGTCCCATCCACTATCATGTACGAGACAGGGTTTATGACCTATACTGCAACGAGCCACCAGATGGCGATCAAGACAGTTTGGCTTCACTTTTGGGGAACAGTCATGTCATCCATCATCATATACAGTCTATGGTTAAAGCACTTTGCTTCCAGTGTGTGTCTTTGTTTCTTTCTCTGTGTAAAAGTAAACCAACGCACACCTCCACTGACTAAACTGTGTCCCTGCGACTTTCCAAAATGTATTGACACTTGTGCGAAGACATGGTTGAGATTAATGTTAATATATGATATTGTTTATCTTTTTTGGAGACACATTATCGACAAATTGTGAGGACAAGGGTTGACACATTTTGCTTAGGACTGACAATCTTATCAGGTCACAGCAACTATAAGCAACAAAGGGAAGAGGAGAAGTTCCAGATTAGCAGCTTCAAGGATGGGACTTTTTGTCCTATGACTTTATACTTTTTTTTTTATATTTCGAGAACCAAACAACATGCATTTGTACCTTACAACATGACAGCATGCGACTAGTTTCATTCCTCATACAATATTTACATATCGTTGCGTAATATGAAGTAAGTCTGCCCAGTATTTATATTTAATCAGTCACTAAATAAAAAGGAAAGAACAGGATTATTCTTAATTTTTCTTGTCAACAAATTGCATGAAAAGGCTAAAAACCTGGTCCCTCAATACTTAGTCTGTTCGTCTGCTGCTCTCATCCCCATCCCCCTATTTGTACCAAATTTAAAAATGGGACACAAAGACATTAAAATAGAAAAAGAAAAAAGTAATTTCCAAAAACAGATGGGCACTGTAGATTTTGAAAATGTAAATTGTTGGGGGACTATTTTCAGCCATGGATTAATACATATTTGGAGCTCTAATGAGAATCTTTGGCAGCAGGATGGCGTATGTGGGTTTGACTTAAAATCAATGCATGTTATAATTATCCTATAAATCACCAGTTTATCTTGCACTTCATTTCATTATAGCCACCCATTTGTCAGCAGTTTCACAAGTATCTCCTCATTTTTAATCTTGCTTTTAATCTCCAAGTGGAAATTTTAACACCAAACAAGGCACACATTCCCTCACCGATATAAACCACATCTATGTCCACGGGGTCAGAGAAGGTACTGCCGAGTGCGTTGGTGGCCACCACAGTGATGTTGTAGTTGACCCAGATGGACGTGTCGTTCTTGTTAAAGAAGCAGGAGTTCTCCCCGGCCGTGTGGTAGTCGGGACATTCGTACACTGTATCAGAGCTGAAAGAGACACAGGGGAATGGCATGTAATGTAATCACATGCTTTGCTGCATTTCCAGAGAACATCATGTATTCCTCATGCTACGATTCCTGAAACTTGTTTGTTTGTGTGTGGTTAGGACAATATAAGACAAAAATGGAAGATAACATTCTGAGCAACAAAAGAGAACAGTGGACTGCTACCATAGCTACTACTTTACTTAAAAATGAGGATTCAAATTTATATTTAGTTTTAAACTGTGCTGTTATGTCTTTTTTCGAGAAGTCACTGAAATCATCTCTGCTGACGTGGGGTATGAACACTTGACCACCGCTTCAGGCACTTGGGTTCAAATCCCAGTAGGCGCTTTAATGAATGCTTCTAGAACAAACTACAACGTGCCGTTGACATAGTAGCAGAGACTGTTGCTGATTGGTCGGAGGAGCTGTTCAGCGGTGGTATATGTTCACCTAAAGGTTAAGCCCCTTGATGTGATACTTACGACAACCACACTTGACGTAAGATAGGCTATAACCATATAGCCTATGGCTGATGGCAGCAGTAAAATAAATTATTAAACATTGCTAGATATATTTGCAGTGGCTTTATTTAATTTTTTTTTAGGAATAATAACAGCCCCCACACACACTTGGACAAATTAAAAAATAATGGAATGTAGCATTATAAAGGAATACTGAGAATTAACACAATAGATTCATTATTTATTTAAAGGAATTATGTTATTTTAGCAGCAGCATGATGTCTCTTTAGAAGACAATATCATCATTTGATTTCAGACAAACCCACAGCTAAGGAAACAATAGGAGATTCTGACTGTGGCTGTGTTTCATGGACAGTGATGAGATTACACGATAGGCACTGTTATTATACTTTAAAATGCGTTAACCTCTTAACCTTCTGCATAACTACTGGATATTGAAAGCTTAAGATTTCTCTATTCTGACATTTCATACAAAACACTTTATCATAACAGTAATGGAGTGGAAAACATCCCCTCCTTCTGTGTCAATGCCATATGAGCCCCACACAGTTTTCAAATCCAAAGCCAAGGGCACAACTGGTGCCACATAACTCTCTGCAATCTTTATCCTCTTACACCCATCTGCTGCCCTCAGTGCCACATGACACCAGGTAGGCTGCTAACGAACAAGTGTGCTGACACAGAAGCTGTGTCTCAGTTCAGGGGCTGCAGCCTTTGGAGGCTGCATTTGCAGACTGATTGAGTCACAACAGTGGCACAGAACTGTTCCATTTCAAAGGCTCCTCCTTTATAGATGGCCAACAAATGCGACTTTCCATGCCCCAACCTATCCCAGGATTCATTGCGTGCACAAATCCCGCTTCAACTTCAGCTATCGTTAAAGATTTAAAAAGGGGCATGGCAACTTTCTGTCCAACATCAGCGCTTCTGCGATAACAGCAATAATCGCAGGACAAGCTGGTGACACCGATCATGGAAATCCTCTGTAGACCTGACTGCAGTCTTTGCAGTGTGCATGGCCCATAAAGGAGGTGGTCTTCATGGGCCGGGCAGACCCCACCCTCTGAAGGTTGCAGCCCCTGAATTGAGACACAGCTAGAGAATGTGAAGATAACCAGTGTTGGCCATACTGGTTCTATTCTCTGATCTTAATAAGTATATTAATGTATCAAACCAGCTGCTCAACCATAAACCTCACTCATGACGATGAACATACAGGTGACTGCTGACAATCCATCTATGTCACTTATTCTGAAGTGCATGTGCTTCTGCATGAAACTCACTTCTCTTTGCGATAGTACAGGGCGTAGGTGGTGGGCAGGCCGCCGTCAGATCCTGGTTCCCACCAGCAGGTGAAGGTCTCTTTTTCAGGAGAACGACATCTGGTCAGAGCAGGTTTCTCTGGAGGGCTGTAGCCTGAGGAATGTGTAAAAAGGGGAAATTAAAATAAATACTAGACTACACACTAAACAAGGCGTATTATATAACAATAATAGAGAACGTTTGCAGTTCCAGTTGGATTCAGTTTTGATATGAAATATGTAAGATGTGTAATAAACAACAAAAATAGCCAATATTTTACTCATAATATTTTGATTGGGCGGATCTGGCTCCTGTACTAACAACCACACAACTCCTTACTCAGGAAGATACTGAGACACTTACGTGTTCCCTGTGCGTACGGCGAGAAGAACAGCAGCAACAACAGCAGGACCACTTCTGAGAGGTTCTTCATCATGGCACCACAAAACCTTGGCTGTTGGATGGGAAACAAAACAGAGAGAGATGGACAGTCAGAACTTGTGCTACATGAGCCACAGTGTTTGCAGCAGAGGTTCACGTTTTGTGTTCAGTCACAACATTTGCAGGGCCAATGAAAACTGCCTGATGCAGCAGTGAGGTTTTCTCACTGTCTGACACCCCTGAGGTCACATCTATCTTATCAAAGTGCATACCTCAACAGTCCCTTTATGAAACATTTAAATTCACTTGATACAGATTTTTATTTGGAAGTGCAGCAATTGCACACAATACAAGTCGCCTAAACTTGTCTGATTTTTTTCATCAAGATCCATGAATTGTTTCTCTTTTAAAAAAGGCCCTTTTGCACTTAAAGTGGAAGAAAGTGGAAAAGAATCCTGGATCTGACCCCTAATCCAGAACCACACCAAAATGTAATGGGATCATCCTGATCTCCACCCCGCCACAAAATTTCAAAGAAAGCAGTTTTCTGCTAATCAACAATAAACGCAGATAAAATAAATTCACCAATTAGAATTAGAAGAGGAGAAACAAACATCAATGAAACTCAGTAGCACACATTCTTCTTATAAGGTCAAACAATCCCAGTAGAAGTTAATCAAGCTGCACCTAATTTCCCACACGCATAGATATCAGTTCTCAAAATATATTTCTTTCATCAAGATTTATGAATAATTTCCTGAGAAATCAGTGGAAATGTTGAAAAATTCTAACGGTAAAGAAAGTGAAACAAAAAAATCCCATATACACCCTTTAATCAGGATCAACACCAAAATGTAGTGGATTCTTCCCTGACCCTTGCAGCGTCCTCCCACCAAGCTTCGTGGGATCTGTCGAGTATTTTTTGCTTAATCCTGCTAACTAACAAACAAACAAAGGGACTGTGCGAAAATAAAACCTCCTTGGCAGAGGTGACGAATCATGTCATTTACGTGCATGTGCTAAACAGACATAATCATTATAATAATAAAATGACACAGCATCTGAGTGCAGAACAGTAAATGTGATGAACTAGAAGAGAGAATGTTTGCTGTTCCGCTGAAGATTAAAAAACATCCTCTCTGTTTCAGACTACCTCTACCAGCTGGCACATGTAGCAACTGATTGCATAATCTGAGTTAGGCCGTTTGCCTGAACAACAGAGACACATAGGGCTGGTTACAACCCCCCCACCTCTCTCTCACATGCTCAGTCACATGCTCTCTCCTTCTCTCTCTCTCTCTCTCTCTCGTTTTTGATTACAGATTATTGTTGCCGTCAGTTGACATGTGACATATTGAACAGAGAGAAACCTTCTGACCAGCTCTCGATCAGGAAAATGCTCAAGTACGAACAAATAGATATTCTACTGTTCAAGAATGTCTAAATGAAACTTATTATGTCCTTAAAATATAATTTGGGATATCATTTCATCAAGATCCGTGAATTATGCTCAAAAACATCTTGCAATGTCAAAGAATGGAAAGAAATCCTGGATGTGCACCAAAATGTAATGGGTTCTTCAGTAGTTTTCGGGCAACTCTGCAAACAGACATATAAACTTGGCGTTGGGTTGTTTGTTGAGATGCTCCACAATTCTGTGATGTGTTTTTATTTAAACGAATGAGAAGTCATTATTCCTCTGAAAAAATAATAGCTCAAAGGGACATTTTTAATCTGGGCCGAAAATATAATAAGCTTTTCTTGTATGTCCTGTCTCTGTTCCAACAGAAGGACATAAGTGTGGCATATGTGCTTCTAAGAAAACACAACACTGTGCATTATATGCAACACTCAAAGTTACAGAATACAGACTACTCACTTACTGTGGCTTAGTGTGTTTTTGATTTGAAACTTTATGTATCTTCTTATTTAATCATTTTCATTTTACATTTTCTTTTGACTTATTTTAAATACCTTTTTATTCCTTTCACATATTTTAATCTCTTTACCTCTTCTATTCTTCTGTTTTTATTCTATTTTATTTTGCTTGAATTTTTGTTTTTAATCTGCTTTCTGATTTTAAACAAATTTCCTTCCATTTGGTCTCTGTACAAAGGGAAGTGAAAAATAATCCTGGGTCTGCCCTTTTGTCCGGGTCTTTGTCACATTCTTCTACAAAGGTTTGTGGAAATCCATTCATTAGTTTTTACCTAATCCTGCTGACAAACAAATATACAAACAAACAAGCTGACAAGGGTGAGAACATAACCTCATTGGAGGAGGTAATAACATTCTGCAAGACTTGGCAGGGGTGTGACTGCTTAGGAAAGTGTTCTTACACCATATTTACGCTTATATACTTTTTTTGAACTCATTATAATTATGTTGTGCCACATGATCATTAAAACGACACTTGCTTCCTTTTTTAATATAAAGTTCATCAACATCATAAGCGTTTCGCTGAGCGACTATCATCAACTCTTCATTTTACTCTCCTTAATTTCAGTAACGTCACCATGATCTGATAATTGGCATTAAGGTCAAGGGACTGGATTAGCCTCCTGCTGCATATAGCCGTTTTACGTAATGCGTAGCCCAAACTGAATTAAGCTGCTAAGCTAGGAAAGTGCTGGCCAATAGTGCAAAGCTCTTCTTTCAAAGATAATGGTCTGCATGTTACATTTAAACTGTGTGGTGTGTTTTCCCATCAGGCAGTAGAACAAGCCTTGGAAGCATTCACCCTCAGCCAGGCCATCACGAGGTTAAGACCTGAACTCAGACAGGCTAGTATATGAATAATATACTCTTCATGTGGCCTCTCACTTTCAAGAGGTGAGGAGAGGACGTGTCAAATGACATGTTTTGATAAAATGTGAGCAGTGAAGCAAGATGATCCCCACTCAGGCATGAATGTGTGCACCACCTTTGCAGGGGTGATTCACGAGTCCTGCTTCTTTCTATTGCAGCAGCATCAAGAGCAGTGATTGACACAGAGGAGCACATTCAGCAATGGAGCTACTGTATTTTTTTTCTAAGAAAGAGGAAGCGCACAAAGTACAGAATATATACAGAAATGTTGAATGCACAGTCGTGTGTTTCAGGTTTATAATAATGTTTATAATGTTTACAGACTGGATCAAACATAATTCAGTCAAGCTACACCAAACTTCACACGACCATAGATATCAGTTCCCTAAATGTGAAAGATTCATGAATCATTACACTGTAACTTGTCACTATCCTAGTGGCAAAAATGTAAACTCCCAGACAGCAGAACAGATCATAAGTCTTGAAATAAAATTTTGCAGAAATATAGAACTATAAAAAGAAATTAGTGTAAAAAGTGCAAAAAAATATGCATACACAGTCAGGACAGTGATACATTTTGGTCTCGACATTTTGTCCCACCCCTATTGACCCCTTATCAGAAAATACAAATGCTATACATTACAATTCCATGAACTGTTGTACAGTTTGGCTTAAAGACGAAGTGGGACAGATTGCATGAATCCCTTAATCACTGCTTTCAGAGAAAAACCTTGACCTGAACTGCTGCTCACACTAAAACAGACTAAACACTGCCCTGTGCTGGAAAATAAAAACCGGTTTGCTCACCAGCATCAGCCACTTTCTAGGAACATTTTTGAATGGGGGAAGTCAACAGAAAACAATGCCCGGAACTTTAAATTTCATGACAACGAAACTGCACCAATAATCACACGATTTTCATGACTGGTTGCATTTATGTATTCTGCTTAATCCATTAAGACCCAAGGTGCCATTTTAAAAAAACATTAAAACCTAAGCATTGTTTGAAAACCTGAAGGTTTTCTAGAAGCTGATCTAAAACTTTTATTTTTCAGCAGATAGAAACATGCAATAAAAACTTTTTGAAAGCTTTGGCTTTTGTTACAAATCATCGCTTTTTCCTGCGGAACTGGGTAAGGCTGGAAACAAGAACATTTGTCAACATGTCACTCCTTGGTCCGCCTGCATTCTACATGCCTGATGTGTATTCTAGTGAATCACGTAACATTTCATTGGTGATAACATCTGACTCTAGAGAAACATATGGGCACATTGCACTCATTCTTTAATGGTGATAGATGTTGCGACAATAGGACATTCATATAGTATATATATAGTGAGGCGTAATGAACAGTATTAATTCCAGTGGCTTCTAGTGTGGATTAAGACTTTTCTTTACCTTATTCATTACTAAATAAAATCCCAATATGGGCAATGGGAAATGTAGGATTAATATTTGTACACTGTAGCAGATGATAGAAGTTTTAAACACAAATTGATATATTCAGGTGTAGTTCTCTGACATATCTGTTAAAAAATAGATTATGTGTGTGGGCTCAAATTAAGTTGCATACACTTAACACCCCTTTGAATACATCCACACAGGCTACATGAATAAACAGCGTAGAAGCACTGAAAGTGCATTTACGACAAGAATAAAGATGTCATCACACCTTTCTCATGAGAGCATCAAACGATTTATAGCTCCTGCCATCAGCTATAGTAGTCAACCATAAAATGTCATAAAAACATTGACCACAGCTCATGTCCTCATGTTTTTGCACTGTTCCAATGACAGTTATTGCAACACTCTTTTGCCGCTTGTAAATGTGTTGTGATATTTGAACGTCTTAGGTAACCTACAGTAAATCTATTCACACACACAGTGGAAAGAAGAAGGACGACAGACAACAAACCCTTCGCTACCTGCAGCAATAATGTTCCCACTGATCTTCGGCCGTCAGTTAAGAAATAGGTTAGTCAGATAAGAAGACTGGGATACTTCGGTTTATGGTTGGACACTGCACACTGCTTATTATGGTTCTTGTGTTTAGGAGGGAGAAATAGTGTTGCTTCAGTTCAGATACAGTGATTTTGAGAGCGACCCCCTATTCTTAAATGACACATGAGCCTGCTGAAGCAATAATTGCTTATTCTTAAAGGTAAAAACGCTGAAAATCTGATTTCACCTATAGACTTTATATAAGGAATTAAATGCGGCTGTAGGCGGCAATGGATTTCTCTGATGGTGGGCGTAATGGAATTAAGACTCACCTCAAAGGCTTGACGTCAGGTACATGAAGTGAGTAATAGCCTTCCTAAGGTTGAGACCAGAAGTCCTTATCATGAATTACCCTGCGGTGCCAATTTCATAAACCATGTATTGTTTTAAAAAAACATTTTAAACCACTCCTAGTTCAGATTTTGTGCTTCAGGCGGCTGAGACACTTAATAATTGCAGCTGTAGTTAGCATCAATGCCCAACCAATGCGTAATAAAGTCCTGGTGCAAGACTATAACAGTGGAAAAAATCAGTGAACTGTTTAATCCAGTATTGACTTGATCAGCTTGGTGCTATAACAGTTAATGGCCTGTTTCACCTCTTCCTAGCCTGCCTAAAGGTTAAATGTGCATTGGAGGAGCGGGTCACGACCGGGGAAATCCCATTATACAGCTGAGCTGACACCCCCGCGCACCATCAATCATCATCATCCTGCCAATCAGTCAGCAGTCAACCTGGGAATGTATGCATCTTCATGCAGTGGAGAAACAATAAGAGACTGATCACACCAATTATACCAAACTGTGGGAGTTATTTTATGCTATATTTTATGATCCCTGACCGTGGAAACTGAATCAGAGTAAACTGTAGTTGGTATTAGTTATCAGTATAGGACAAATGAAGTCGTCCCTATGCGCAAAGGTGTTGCACATTTTTGCATCTCTATCTCAAACGGTGAAATGTATAATTACCATCACTGCATGGGCCTAAATGTAGCAACAGTGTTTTAGTCTTTAGTCTTTTTTGTCCATATTATTTTGTCATTATATTATGGAAACAAGCAACAAGTGTCTCTCTCTCTCTCTCTCTCTCTCTCTCTCACACACACACACACAGTTGTGTTTCCATGACTTCAGAGGACGTTCGTTGACATTGATTTCCTACAAACCTTAACCTTAACCATAGTTACCACTTACCTGACACTTACCCTTTCGCTAACCTAAACCTAATCTTACCTCAAAACATGTCGTCACCTTAATATTTGACAGTTTACATTATGGGGACATGTGTCTGTTTAAACAGATTTACAGTAGGTCCCCACAACAAACCCAACCTCTTGCCCTGGCCTTATCATAATCCTAATCCTCAAACAACTTCTTGAAAATGTGTGTGCGTGAAAGTGAAAATATCCTCAATTTCGCAGTGTCCTCACTCAAAAACTATAACATAACAACACACAGTGAGGTGCTCCATGAATTAGATATGTCTGCACCCTCAGTGCAGCTCGTAGAGACTCTCCACAGATCAACATTTACTTCGGCCTAAGTTTGTTGTGAAGTTCATACAACCATGGAGCTTCAGATCAACCTCACAGCCTCCATCAGTGACTACAGTCATTCAGACCATCTGTCTCAGTGTGTCTGTCTGTGTGTGTGTGTGTGTGTGTGTGTGTGTGTGTGTGAAACTTACAGACAGGAGTGCGTCTCTCCCTCCGTGTCTCAGCCAGCAGAGTTACCGATTTGTGTAACTGGTTTACCGGGATGACAGGAGACGGGTGCGCGTACATCACCGGGCGACAGGAGCCGGTCAGCTGAGTCCTGCAGCAGCCAGTGAACAACCCGAGCAACACCCCCCCCCCCCCTCTCCTCTATATCCATGATCCATCCCTGCGAGGGGCGGGGCAGAGCAGCCCAGCCTCCGCGTATAAACCCCGCCCACTGATCATCCCACACAAACTACATCCTCAAATACTGAAAACAAACTGGAGCATTGTGAGCTTTAAAGTTGCCTGATGTCAAATGATGTAAATGTAGATTATATGTTAAACAGGCTGCTTTTCTCATTCGATCTGTCTGGTGATGTTTCTCCTTTGTACAGCAGTTAAGATTGTGATTTTGAAAATAAATTCTTGAGCTATTCAACAGAATATATTGGTGTTATAATAGAGGCAGAGAGGTTGGGCTACACATAATATTTTGTGGATGATAAATGGGCTTCACAAAATAATGTTTCTACGACAATAAAAACTGGTGTTGAGAACTATGCACTATAACACTTGTGTGCTGCTACCTTAGTGACTTGTCTTTACTCTGCGTATGAACAAATATTGTAAAACACGATGTGACTGTCAGAACACCGTGACCTGCTGAAACAGTGCTGCTTCTTTCATGGGTTCCTCTTACTGGGAGCTGTAAACATAGTCAGGTATCCAAGTATGTGACATCCCCTCTTTCTCCCTCCCCTGCTGTCCTGACACACTGTCTGTCCCTGACACACTGTCTTTCCCTGACACACTGTCTGTCCCTGACGCTTAATGTGTAACCCATGGCCAATGGATATATCATATCATCATCTGAAAGGAGCTTACAGCCATAATTGAAAAGGTTAATAAGACAACGTACAGGGGTGTTTCGATAAGGTATGTATTGCCTGTGGCTCCAAGCTTAGAGGGGACACCTGAGAATGGCTGATTCATTAGTCCATAGCAGGAAAATCTTGTGAGAACATAATTAAATTTGATGATTGGCTTTGTACAGGAGACTGCAAGACACCAAGGTCTAAAAAACCCCAATAGGGCCCATGCCACTAGCCTTCTAGTGCTTTTTTGCACTTAAACTTTTACAACTTTACAATTATTCAAGTGTACGCATGTGATTGGTTTGGGTTTGGTTCGATGTAGGGCCCTTTTGCAGCCCCCAAAGTCCCTTGAAACACTCCTGAGAACGTAACTGTGAAAGTGATGTCCCCCCTGAAAACTTAGTAATCTATGTGTGTATCTGTTTCGTGATAAAAAGATATAGAAAATAATATTTTTAGGTCTGGGCCACATGTCTAGGAGTATGAAAAACATGGGCTCAACATGTCGGCAGCGAAAGATCAGAGGAACCGATTTTCCCATGATTTTTCCACGGTTGTGTATTGTCTCCTAAACTTCATTTCCTTTTTACTCATTGCATTCACTTTCTGTGAAGTTACATCTAAAGAGATCTTACAGTGACAGATGTTAACACGCTCTGGAAATTCCTGGAGAGTGGAGAGTATTATATTGAGGTCAAAATGTGAACTACCTACAGATTGTGATTTTGAAAAGAAATCTTGAGCCATTCAATATAACATATTGTTCCTATTGAGGAAGGTTGAGCAAACTCTCTTTTGTGAGATGGCCTTCCTCTCTGTAACATTTCAAAAGAGGATCTTTGGAATTTTTCTGTTGGAGTGAAATACAAAAAAATACAACCTATTTATCTTGATTTTTGTGGCTGGTCACATTATTACCCACAAGGCCTGCAGTGTCATTTATGTCTGTGGGAGATGTTGTTAAGAAAGCATTTAATCATTGTGTGTAAAACAAGCTTCTGGGTGAATGATGGCCTTGTATCAAGGCTGGCTCTGGAAATCTCTGGCCCTCCCCGTTCCAGCTCTACTTAGAGTCAATAATATTATGTAATATGGCCATCTGCTCTTCACATTGATTTAAAAGTCCCATTATGTGACATGGTCATGGTGAACGCCAGTGAGTGTTTGAACCAGGACACATTGATGGTTGCCTTCAATGATGGTGCTCCACAGATTTGTTGCCTTTTTGTTTTTTCAATCTATTTTCTCTGTTCATAATGAATGTGTTGGTGTTGGGGGTGTGTGTGAAGTGGATGGGTCAGAGATGTTGGTATGTCAGCAGCATGTCTGTGCCTGCAGAAGAAGAAGAAGTGGGACATTTGCTCTCTCTCTCTCCCTCCCTCGCTCTCTCTCTCTCTCTCTAATCACTGGGCACGTGGGTGTAGTGCAGGGACAAACAAGGACAGAGGGTGAGCTAATCATGACTCTGTTGCGACACCTAGTGGCTTTTTTGGGACCAAGCAATCAAAATAAAGAAAGCAGGCAAGAAAAGAAAGGAAGAACTGGATCTGACAAAAAAGTCATCCCATAAATCAAATCGTGTGAAAAATGTTTCTTATATAATTGTTTTAACAAATTGCATAATTACGCCACACTTTCGAACAGTCTATTGATCAAACCTGAACCCAACCCTACACATGAATATTTAAAAGGTAAAAGAAAGACACACCTGTGTAACACATCTTATCATAAATATTTCACATTACCTGTGCTGTTCTCTTTACTCTTTTACTTTATTAAGTTTTGCAGGGGATCAAGACCCAGGTCTTCAGGGTAAGTGGTCAATGAATTAAGAGTGCACTTAAAAGAAGTGTCCGACTGGAGGAGAATGTTCAATTACACCGGCAAACGTTTCTTTAATCAATGTTTTATAAATAACAATGAATACTGCAGTAGTAAATAATTTATTAACCATTGATAATGTCATTATTTGCAGTGTATTTACCATTGATAAAGTAATAACATTGTCCAAAAACATATTAGGATTTTAGTCAACAACAACAAGCTATGCAAGTTGTTCTCATACAATTGTCTGTGAATGCTGAGTCAGAGAAAGCGGCTGATGGAATTTTCCTTCTTATATTCCTTTAACTTTAGTTGTAGTAGTTTGAGAGTAACCACCTTCCTCAGACTAGTCAGCTGGAAATAGAAATATTATATATAGTAATTATTTAATACTTCTACTACCACTACTAATATATTCCTGAAACAATTCTAGA